ATATCATGGATTAGCACGGCGAAGCCGTGGTAATACATGGTGTTCACGGCGCACGTGGAATATCTGATATATTTCACAGTTCCTATGCCCGTAGCATTTCTGATTAAAATTTTTACTGATGACGTAATGTCCGCGGAATAAATTTTGATATTTTCACGTCATTATGTCATCATAAAAATATCATCAGAAATGCTCACGGGAGAAAATTAGGGACCGTGGAATATATTTAGCTAATATATAGCAATAAATTTTAAAACAAGCATATTAGCTAACATAATTTATTACAAAATAAACTATTTTTAACATGTGTTAATAAGTTAGTTAGCAAAAAAAGAATTAATTCAATTTAAATCAAATACATAAGATTGATATTAAATCTAATTAGAGAAGTGTTATTTATTAGATAATTTTTTGTAAACTGTAAAGTTTCTCACTTTTTTAAATAATTATCATAATCATAATAAAATTACTCAGCATCATTTGCTGTCAGTCCAAAATGAATCAACAAATCTAAAGTTACTTAAAATAGTTACGTTCTTGATTCATTTTTTTACTTCTAAGTATAGGCTAGATTTGATCTTTATAGATCTTTTCTCAGAATCCTGATTAAATAAAAATCATTCCATATTCATTTTGTACGTAACACATAGATATGTATATAATGATATTGATTTTAAATGTATATTATAAAGCTAGATAGCTACGCGACGTCATCGTGCAAAATCAGGAACGGAAGATCTAAGCGAAGGTCAAGCAAGGTATTTGATATTATAAAGATTATGTGGTAGCATGTGACTATGTTTTAATTTAGAATTAGACATAATGGTTGCAGCTGATCCAAATTTATAGATATTTGAATTAGCAATATATATTTAAAACTTAAGTTAGCTAACTAACCCAAAGTTGAATGCTTGTAATTTATAAAGCCTGCGCATCAAATAAGAATATTCCCTTTTTCAGCACTTACACTACTTCTTTGTGATTATTTAGTTATTAAAGTACCAAAATTTTTTATACAACTAGGCATGAGACTGGACGGCTGTTCTGTTAGACTAATTAAATATAAATTATTATGTATTATTACCCGTTTATTTTAACGTTAAAAATATGAGTTTCATGGCTGTGGGAGTAAACCTGATCCTCAAAAACGTATAAAAAATTAATAATGTCATAAATTTGAATAGTTGTATGGCATTTACTGCTTTTATCACGATGACCAATCCATACAGCATATCGTACGGAATGACTTTTAAAATAAGTATTTTGGAAATTACAGAAGATCTGGATAGTTAAATGCCAAAAGTATATGGTATGAGGGTGTAAAATATCTACAGTATAAGCGTCAAATAACACCTATTATTTCGAAATAAGAGAAGATTTTCTAAATTCAATAGTCGACCTTCAATAAATACATGTTGTTGAGTAAAGGAGTATTTATAAAATATTCATTATGGAGAATAATCTACATATAATATAAAATAATTACATAAATTATGTGCACTTATCATTATAGGGAAAGTGCATGTGAAGTGAACTTATAGAGTGTACACATATGGAGTATCGACTGTATATCGCAACAGTAAATTAAGTGCTACATTAGGATGCGCGTTAATTCGGGACGCCCATGAGCGCTAATTCAAAATAACGCCCACGAGCATTATTTCGCACTTATACGGTATTTAAAAACATTCCATACTGATCTTATCATCAATATTGTGAAATTTGCGGATCAAAAGAAGAATTCACTACTACAACTTATATGACCTGCCGTCATGACATTCAAAATGAAGAATAACACACATTTGCCAAATAAGCCGGTGGTTCTCCGGTTATATAAGGCCCGAACGGTTATATAAAGGCCCGAAGGACCCTCATATAACCGGGAACTTACCTCTTATTCCCGCCGTTGCGAAAAATAAATAATGCTAATTCACTTTTAATTTGATTTCTTATTTCATTGATTTAGTGGCAATGATTATAATAATGGATGTATTTAAAATAAGTTACACAGTACGCACATGAAATGGTTCCGTTCAACTTTTTGGTGCGCTATTTTTTCCTATTTTAGAAGGTATTATGGTTATCATTTTTTTTCTATATCACATGCGAGATGTTCACTATGCTGATTTTTGAAAATCCTTTTTTAGTAGGAATGATGATTTTCATTTATTCATTTTTAGAAAATGTTAAGTCTGGGTGACAACTAGCCACTTCACTAGATCATCACACCTAGATCAAATTATTAATTAATAACGCTTTATAATATACGGTGAAGATTGGCTGTCTAAACTTTTATTAAATTCACTGGTAGCTTATTTAATTCATCATATTGATATTATTAGCGATGATCAAAGTTATTAACATTATTAATTTTTTCATTATTAACTAGGTCCTATCACTACTCGCAAGTATTCACGAGTTAATTATTCATGTATAATGAAGTTTTAAATGGCTAATACTTAACATTAATAAATTCGTAAGCTGCATAAATAATGTCGTAATTTTTAAATAATTATATGTAATTCTTTAAAATTCAAATAAACAACGTACGTAATCTATTGCAGTCGCAATTTTTAAAAAAATAAACTACGTACGTACGTTCGTAATTTATTGCAATTGCAATTTTTTAATAAAAATAAACTACGAACGTAATTTATTGCAGTCGCAATTTTTTAATAAAAATAAAAAAGGTTAAAACTTAAAACCAATTTCAAAATATAAACATAGAGAGCAAAACAAAAGCACTAATAAACGGAAGGAATCTTATAATAAAGAGAATGCCAAAACACAACTACACATACGTCTAAAAGTAGATCTAACCAAGTTTTGTCTGGGAATACTTTTGAAAGGAGGTTATAACATCCACTTGTTAAATTATAATGGATGACGGGAAGAAAATGGTACTCGTATAATGATGGACTTCAAATTTAAATAATCATCTCATCCGTTAGCACAGAATATTTAAAGATACTATCAGTTTGTTACATTCGCAACTTGTAATTGATGTATTTGTTTTATAACACATAAATTGAATTATACTTGTTTTTGTAATATACAAAATTGAATTATATTTTTTGCTTCATGTAACTCGCTATTTAAAGTAGTTTACTTGCAATTTATAAAATTTATCAATAAACTAATTGCATGTCGAACAAAACTCGACTAAGTAATTCAATTGAATGATTTGAGCACTCTTCTTGGTTTAATTCGCGAGTTACGAGTCTAGTCATTATCGTTGATTATAATATAAGAATTAACTATTTCATAGCTTTTTAGCGATATTAAATTGAAAAGTTTATATAGATTATTATTATTATTACTATTTTATCTGTTTACTATCTAGTCATATAAGGAGTATAACCACAAGCTACTGTTATGCTTTTGTTTGGTCTAAAAATTGAGGCTTCGATAATGTAGAAATTAGGCAATTTAGGTGCAGTAATACTAAAGTCTATATCATAGGATTGAGTTGGACATTTTGTTTTACCATCACTACAAATATCTTTAGAATCACTCGCAAAGTCTTTATGATCTGAATATTTAAATCCAAAAATGAATATATCGCCTTGAATAATATCAACCTTCGTATATACATGACCATTAATAGTGATTTTTGCATCAGAAACTGGCTGATTAGGGTTAATAGTTACTTGATAGATTGCGGATACATTTGATGCACTGTGATCCGGACATTGCATTAATGAGAGGTTTGCATTGACAGTAAAAAATACAGCCAAGAAAACGAAGAGCAAGACAAGAATTCGGTTCATAGTTATTGATTAACAAAAAAAAGTTTTTTTTTTCTTTTCTATAGGAATTATTATGAATGCAATTACGTAATGTATTTTTTGGATTGTTTTTTGACTCCAGAGTAAATTGAAAATCGGCGACTTTTTATTTAAAAAAAATAAATAAATACGGATATCTCAAATTAATAATTACTTTAAATTGAACCATACAGTAGCAGGGAAGAAATTTAATAAAAAAGATTTCTTAAAAAAGAATCTTATTCATATTCATGTTATTTAATTGTAACTATCCAAAAATGAAAATCCTAATGGAATTAACACATGTTTGAAAAAAGGGAAAATAAACAAAATTTATGATATAAATTGTAATCTCATGATCGTGAGGGAAACTGAAGGTCTAATATTCGCAATATCAGCTTAGTACAGTATACCAAACTTTTACAGCAAATCATTATACAAATAACGATAGCTTCACTTATGCAATAGTCTGTAAGAGAACTTTTTACAGCAAATCACTATGAATACAATTATATTTCTAAGAAATCCTTTTAATTGTAGTCGGACAAATTCAATTTTGAGTTAGTATTAGTAGGAATTAGGTGTCGGAGGAATGATTATCGTGATAATCGTATAAACATCTTTTTCATACAAAAACTTTTCAATTTAATAATTTCTAAATTAAGTGCGAAAATACAAGTTTCATTTATCATTTAGCTTCAAATTAATATGAAAGAGCGATAAATGAAGATCTGGTGATAACTTATTGTGCAGCTAAATTGTATAGGATCTATAAAAATAACAATTGCGTCAGTTTTTTTATTATACTTTTGTTTATTCCGTTGCGTTGGTAGTTTATTAATATTAATAGCGCATTATTAACTTTTTCTATTAATTAAAGACTCAGAGAGCTACTCAGAGGGTCCATCACTTTTATAAAAAATACTTTTATTTTTTGATCTTTAATGACTATGAATCGAAACTTAGGCTTTTTATTCATTTTTTTGGCTGTACTTTCAATTGTTAATGGTAGAATTAAATTCGAGTCATGCGAATATCCGATTAAACACACCATAATCGATAAAATAATAATTATCCCTAATCCGCCAGTTTTAGGTGAACCTGTTAAGATTTTAGGTGCTTAAACCTACCTGGCAATATTACTGAAGGCTACAGGTTCATTTTTGGAGTAGCTTTTTCTAAAAATGGACAAACTAACATTCAGAGCATAAATATTTGTAGCGATGATGGTAAAACTATATGTCCAACTAAAAAATATGTTATATACTCTGAAATTACACCTTCTCTAGACTTAGAAAAACCTTATATACTTGGGGCTACAATTGCTGATTCTAATAACGAACAAATAGCTTGTGGCTTGTATATCTTTAAATAATGCAAGAATATTAACTAACATAATTTATTACAGAATAAACTATTTTAACATTTGTTAGTAAATTAGTTAGAAAATAAAAGAATTAATTCAATTTTAAACCAAATACAAAAGTTTGATAATAAATCTAATTAGAGAAATGGTATTTATTAGAACTGCAAAGTTTCTCCCTTTTTTAAATAATTATCAGAATCATAATAAAATTACTCAGCATCATGTGCTGTCCGTCCAAATTGAATCAAGAACGTTACCAATAAATCTAAAAGT